TCGAGAGTGATAAATTGGAGCAGCAACATTTTACAGGCTCTTATGAGGGCTATGAAAAATGGAAAGTACAGAAAACTACAATTCTCACTGAACATAATATAATTAGAGTCGACTATTATCAAAGCCGGCAATCTGACTTTTGGACAATGATTGGTAAATCAGAAAAACGAATTATTGACTTTGTATTCCATTGGCAGTCACAAAACTCTTCGGAACGACATCTTAGATAAATAACAGGTTAAGTATTAACCTTTATTTAATGCAGGTTTTGAACCGTATTCTTTGAAGGAGACGATTATATTCANTCGACTATTATCAAAGCCGGCAATCTGACTTTTGGACAATGATTGGTAAATCAGAAAAACGAATTATTGACTTTGTATTCCATTGGCAGTCACAAAACTCTTCGGAACGACATCTTAGATAAATAACAGGTTAAGTATTAACCTTTATTTAATGCAGGTTTTGAACCGTATTCTTTGAAGGAGACGATTATATTCAAATCAATCTGTACTGACATATCAATAACATTTTTTTGTCCAAATGCACAGATTGCCACCTTTGATAATACGACTCAATTATTCATGATGATATTTTCATTCAGTGTAACAGTGTTTTACACAAAAGCGCCACCTAGTTAAATTCTTGAAGCCGTCTGAGTAATAATATGAAAATTGAAATATAGATGTCGCTTGGTGGACACATTTTTCTTCACAGATCAAACATGTTAATAACGATTTCAATTAGATTAAAGCTATAACAAAAATTATGAGTTTACAAATTTAGTCCATTTTTTATTTTTATAAACAATAAACTGTTTTAATTGTTTCTTAGAAGAATGTGTTGATGAAATAAAATTATTTGTGCTCAACTATTTCATACAATACACATGGGTTCGTTTTATAGTTTCATATTTTCTAAATGTTAATTGTTTAAATAATTTCGAACTGGTCATCGTTCTCGTCGAAGCCGTAAATTAGCCCACGGCTCGGCGAGTAATTAAACCCACAGACACAGCCCACTGAGTTTCTCGCCAGATCTTCTCAGTGGGTCGCGTTTCCAATCCGGTGGTAGATTCTGCGGAGCACGGCTTTTGCTAGGGTTCGTGTTAGCAACGTCGTCAGGTTTGAGTCCCGTGAGTTCACCTACTAGTTCAGTGAATCTAGAATAACCCCTCGAGGTTACTAGAATAGGTAGGAAAAAAATCCGAATTATTTTATTAAGTATGACATATAACCTACCTCCGGTCCTTGTGGATTGGGTGAATCGTGACAGAGGACACCTCACTTTCCGGCTCACGCAGGTGCTCACTGGGCATGGTTGCTTCGGTGAGTTCCTGCACCGGATCGGAGCCGAGCCGACGGCAGGGTGCCACCATTGTGGTTGTGACTTGGAAACGGCAGAGCAACACGCTCGTCGCCTGCCCCGCATGGGAGGGGTGGCGCCGTGTCCTCGTCGTAAAAATAGGAAACGACTTGTCGTTGCCGAATGTTGTGGCATCGATGCTCGGTGACGACGAGTCGTGGAAGGCGATGCTCGACTTCTGCAAGTGCATCATCTCGCAGAAGGAGGTGGCGGGACGCGTGAGAGACGCACAAGCCCGCCGCCTTCGAGCGGGGGCCAGGGAGGTGGATCTCGTCCAAGCCCTGGCCCTCTAAGTGTTTCGGGTCCCCTTCACATGTCGGTCTGAGAACCGGCGAGGGGAGCCTAAGAAGACGACTTGCAAGTTGCTCTGCATGCGTTTTACACAAGAGCATCCGGGTGATTGAAGGCCGGCTATCCTTGACCCACGCTGGTTCTGAGCAGGGTATTCCGTAGGATAACTCACTCTTATCGGCAACATCTAGGCGAGCTTGGAATGGCCTGCCGACCGAGAGGGCTGGTGGTCGTGACGCCGACGACCGCCGGTCCGTCGTCCCGAGGGGGAGGGTGATGGGAGAGATTTGCTCCGCACTAAGCGCTTCACTTTCCCTCCTTTGCTTTTTCATGACTTCTGTGTCATGCGAGGTTCGGACGTGGGCTGTTGAGCAACAAGAGATTTTAGTCGGGTCGGCTCCGACATGCCCCGCCCTCCATCCCCAGTGGAGGGTGGAAGTCCGGCGATTTCCTCCTGACAAAAAAAAACCTACATGGTAATCATTATTTTTGATAACACGCCCTATAAATCGGATTTAATATCGTAGTTAACATATTATTTAATTTTTTTCCGTGGTTGCTGTTGTTTATTGTTTACGTATTTTTTAAAATGCAATTCGACAAACCTCTAGACTCATGTTTACATTTATAGACACGTTCGCGCCACGCAATGCGACAATATCGGAACCGGCTCTTATATATGTAATTAATATTGTAGGTGCGTAATTCAATTAATTATACGTTGAAGATTAAATTTGAGCAAGAATGTCTTTTACTTAAAAAAAATTAGTGAAAATATCGATTGAATGTTTTATGACACAAAATGAAAGCGTAGTGTAGTTTTAGATCCAATTTACCCGCGGCTCGTGTTTCATGTATGGACATACCTAATTATATGTATTTTTGGTACATAGATGTGATTTTGTTCTTTGTCGTGAATTACTTTCCCAGTCTGATAAATGTGACTATTTGAGGCCAATATCATTCTCAACCCTAATCTGCAAAGAATATTACTGAATTGCAACAGCCCGCGAATTTACGTAAATCAATATTGTCAGTTTAAATAAGCTATGCGCGGACACCATGAAAATAAATTCTGCGTGCCTATAATTTATTGTTTCACTGTTTTACATCTATGTATCCTGCTTCTGACTGCTCGCTGGCCTTCAGCTAAGAGCGAGTCGAAACTTCCAGGTTCATTATCCTACCTTCACTTTACTGTCCTAACTGCGTGCAAGATCATAATGTAAAGGAAATCTCTAAAAATGTGCAGAATTGATCATATTGTTCAACCCATCCACAGTGACGAGTGATTGTTTTTTGTAGCTTAGTTTCAGATTATTTAACGGTAGGCAGCGACTTGGCTCTGCCCCTGGCATTGCTGAAGTCCATGGGTGACGGTAACCACTCACCATCAGGTGGGCCGTATGCTCGTCTGAACGGGGGTAAGACTAGTTGGATATGGCGTCATAATGTTTGTTTTTTGGTTTTTTATTGCCAGTTTAGGCACACGATCCAGGTATAGAGCCAAGCCGCTGCCTACCGTAAACTTGCTTGCGTGGACTCCGTTTTTAAAGCAAAAGCGGAGACTCGCCCTCAACGATGAAATGCCTATATTATTTCCCAGGGTTCAGACTATTTCCATACGGAATTTCTTCGAAATAGGCTGAGTTTAAGCGTCAGTACATAACAGACAAATACTTTCGTATTACATAATAATATTCATTGTTATGTAACATCGAACAATATAAAAGCGAACTTTTAAATTGTTTTATATTGATAACTGTCACCTATGTTGTTACGTTTATATATATATTTTTTAAATCCATATTTAAATTATACCATTAAAAAAATGTTTGATTTCCGCATTATCCGATTTTAATGAAATAAAGTCCACCTTTAGTCCTAAATTAATCACTGTCTACTTGTGAAAACTAGAAGAACACTCATTCAGTAGTTCTGTTCTGGAAATTAACACGAACAAACCAACAAATAAACGGAAAATAATTCCAAAAACGGTTGTTTTATGTTATTACTTTAATTCAATGAACAAACACGCCACGGCGCCGGGTTCTGCCTTTTCGTCACTTTTTCGTTAGACGTATTGACTGACGGGAATGTCAGAGATACTTAGCTAATGATGTGCTTCAACAACGAAAAATCGAAAGTATGTATATTTGGGTTACAACTAAAATTACCATAGATATAGAAAAAGGACAAATATTAAATGCATTCACTTCCTAGAAAGTACTTCCTATAAACAATTCAGGTTTCATCAGTTATTGTGGCATTTTGAAAGGACAACAAGTCTTGATGATTCAGATGTTAACATTTATTTTTTAATGAGTCAAATTTAATATTATACCAATGTTTATTCATCATTATCAGAGATCGGTAATCTCTATTGTCAATACATTATTAGTAAAAGAGACTTCGAGAGCATCTCAGAACATTCGTCATGTTACGATCATTAAACTGGAGATAAAAAAAGTTGTTTGTATTTTTCCAGCCGCGGTGAATCCGCAAAGGATGTATCCCCAACTGGTTACTGGTGGTAGGACCTCTTGTGAGTCCGCACGGGTAGGTACCACCTCCCTGCCTATTTCAGCCGTGAAGCAGTAATGCGTTTCGGTTTGAAGGGTGAGGCAGCCGTTGTAACTATACTGAGACCTTAGAACTTATATCTCAAGGTGGGTGGCGCATTTACGTTGTAGATGTCTATGGGCTCCTGAACCACTTAACACGCTAAAAAAAAAACTGTTTTACCTCCGATTTTTCGACTTCCTGGCAGGTCTTCGGAGAAGTTCAGCCTCTACTTTGAGACAAAGTTTTAAGAGAAAGGTGTTCGTGGCACACAAACTCTTAAATGTACTTTTAAAACGTTATACATATTTTTAGAAAGGCTTGTCTGTGAGCCTTTCTTGTGATTATAGTTAAAATAGGCAAGCGGGGTGTGGTCATTACACCTTAACTGCCGAATAGATGTATCTAGAGAGCTATATGTTCTACGTCGGGCCAGAGGAAGCTTAAGACGAAGACATATTGCTCTAGTAATCCTATATGACGCCTACCCCAAATAAGTAGTCCAGCAACCCCCAAAAACATTATTCTTTTAATCCCTTCTAGACATGAAGTTTTAATCACGAATTGGTAGTGTTTCAGACAATTGGCGAGGAACAGTCTGTACTACTTAACTTCCAACAAGCCAGACGTTGCCAAGCTTTTGTCAACGTAGTCGCCGATAGCATTATTGAATTTTCCATCAATTCTTAACCACATAACGACATTAGTACGACTAATCGATTGTGGTCAGTATATAAGACAAGTGCATTCAAAGAAATGAATCACTGTTTTGTGAATAGCTTACGATGTTGGTTCTTTGTTTTCTGTTTGCGTGTGCGTTTGTCGCGTCCGATGCGACAGATTTAGGTGAGTTGTTGTGTTATTAACTGAAATGTAAAGTGAGAATGTTCGAACGGACCACCGTGAGATTTAACCCGCCTAATACAATAAACAAACCAAATTTGAAATCCAAATTTGTTTAAGTATGTAGTTAGTTGTAAATCCAGGCTCAAAACAGACCGCAGAAAAATAAAATTGGAAAATTACTATTCGAGGAAGTCAATGTCATAGACCCGTATCTTCTGATTAATGACTGGACTATCTCTTTCTAGCATGACAAAAAGTATGCCTGTAAGAAGAAGATGAGTGACTCATCAAGTCCCCGATAATTGGGGGGTCAATTAATTAATGTGTACTAGTGATTACACACCAGCCCGGTTCTGACGAATATTAAGCATACAAATCAAACTTAGCAAAATAAAACATGCATTTGAATGTAATATACAATTGAATGTGATTTGAATGTGATATACACAATTGACAATGATTTATAGTACATTTATATTTAAAAACTACCAGGCTTTTAACTGTACTGTCTCATTAAGTGGTTATTCCGTGGTAGACTTTGGACTGAAACAAAATAATACTCCTATTTATTATTTATTATTATTACCTAACTACTTTACCTATTAGATGTGTAAATTTGAAATCCAATGAGCTGGCCTTATCGACAAAATATTGTACGAAACGATTCCCAAAATAGTAGCTATTAAACTTCAATTAGTTTCTTGTGGTATGTAACAACTGAATTTTTGTTGTATTGACTTCCATTATTGAATTGGTTAAATAGTTTCGATCGAAGATGCCAACTCGGAAAAACTGACAGGACCCTTTTTTTGGGAATTCAAATTAAATTTGGATAAACGATTCGAAATAAAATAAAATGACAATTTAAAATAATTAAATAAATAAGTGCACATGTAAAGACGGCTAGTAGATACTTACAATCCTGCCGCCGCTGACTACTCCCCGAATCCTGATCATGCAGGAGCCAGTCACCGTCAACGCCCTAGACACGTCCTTACGGATCCATCAGATTCAATAACCTTTGCATTAGACGCCTTCAGCTCTAACACTAGGAGCAGGCTGAGGAACCCCGGTAAACGTACTCGTCGAACTCGACAAGGAGGTCGACGTGCAACCTAACCCATGCATTCACCCCCCGGATTTTCTCGCCGGATCTTCTCAGCGGGTCGCGATTCCGATCCGGTAGTAGATTCATTCGCGAAGCAGCTGCCCTTGAGTTGTTAGGTCTCCTTTGGAGGCGCTCGGGCAACTGTTAGCAAATGCCACCCCTCCTGGCTGAGCCGTTGCTCGCCCATCTGTCCTGGCGAAACTGGAAAGGCCACTGGGTCACCAGGAATCTTCCAATCATAAAAAAAACTTACAATCCTTGGCCAGGCAGGGGAATGAAGGCGAGCGTAATGCGCATTGATAGGGTCTCCCTAGCGTCGCAAGTCCACTGGTAGTCTTCAATTCCTCCCTCTGCGGCATCATGGACACGACATCCGCGCGGTGAATCCATTGATAGCTAAGAAATTCATCTCACGATGTAATGTTTTAGATTTGCTTTATGAAATAGGTATATCTATGTACTTTCATTACTTATTTTTAAATTCAACTAAATCAATTTAATTTTCAACAATTTACATTATTAATTTTACGTATATTTACTTTACTGTTACATTCAATTTTGCAATGATTTACAAAAAACTCTTGTTACCAAATCATTGTTATTGTATTTTAAAGCTGTCAATTGTGCTAATAATCTAACGACCTTGACCTGTTTGCCGGCGTCTTATTAATTAGCTTATGTAGAATATGAGTATATAGCAGTGTTGTTTTTTTTTAAATATAAATATATTTGCAAAGGCTCTTACTTCTATCTCATTTTAGAGCGTACTCGTAAGGCACCAGAGCACGAAATCTAAGTCTTACGTTGATGAAATAGTTTTAACTGACTCGGTGATTAGTAACTTTTATGGCTGAGCCGAAGTTCGAGGGTTCTATTCCCACATCGGGCAAACACACGTGTGATGAACAAGTTTGTTTGTTGTTTGTCTGAATGTTTTATATCTATGTATGCAGAGGCGGATTATCCGTAAGGCAAACTAGGCACGTGCCTAGGGGCATATAGTTAAGGGGCGCGCGAGCTCAGAATTTTTAAATAAATAAAGAAAATCGAAATCCATAATAGAATATTTCTATTTGGCCTATTTCCCAGAGGAATCATGAATTTCGATGTTCGTTCTGTCGTCCCTCTTGATTTCTAACAGTTATAACGTCATATTTCATTCGCGCATTAGCGTAAGTACAAGGGCCCTGGTCTACTAAAGTCTAGGGTTTGATGATACAACGTCATCGTAATTGCAAAACAACTAGTTAAAATTTATAGTATTATGATGGCCATTTATGGCCGGTATAAAGGCGCCGATAAAATGGTTGCCTTGGGCCCTCTTTTTTTTTTGTTATTGCTTATATGGATGGACGAGCTCACAGCCCACCTGGTGTTAAGTGGTTACTGGAGCCCATAGACATCCACAACGTAAATGCGCCACCCACCTTGAGATATAAGTTCTAAGGTCTCAGTATAGTTACAACGGCTGCCCCACCCTTCAAACCAGAAATGGGCAGGGCGGTGGTACCCACCCGCGCGGACTCATAAGAGGTCCTACCACCAGTAATTACGCAGATTATAATTTTGCGGGTTTCATTTTTATTACACGATGTTATTCCTTCATCGTGGAAGTCAATCGTGAACATTTGTTGAGTACGTTTTTCATTAGAAAAATTGGTACCCGCCTGAGATTCGAACATCGGTGCATCACTCAACACGAATGCACCGGACTTATCCGTTAGGCCACGACGACTTCTAACGCTCTGGACCATTAATCCGCCACTGTATGTATATATGTATAGATTAAAACGTATATAAATATGTATATTAGTCTCTGGTTCCCACTTTTTCTCTGGTAGACGGAATCCTAGATTGGGGCCAGATTGCGTGATTTCCACGCGGTTATTATTATTACTTAATACTGGTCGGGTCAAATCAACAGTTTACCTACATCGAGTGACCACAAGCTCATCCGCTGCTACCAACTACAATATACAATTAGCGTTTCGTTAAATTTCAGCAAAATTTATAACACCATGCCGACCAAAAGACACGGCTTGTCTGAAGTCCTCAGCGCAGAAGGCGGTACCGTTTCTCGCAGCGGGAATCGCCGATCTCGGTATTGAAACCATGGATCCGATGACCGTGGGCCGGGTGAACACCGTCCAGGCTGGCTTGCACATGGATTTTAGAGACACGACCGTCAGAGGCCTAAGGAACTGTGTAGTTTTAAATTTGAGGTGATATTGCCGTTCCTATTGTTGGCGTTATATGTAAGATCCCGAAGCAGACAAGGAAATGTCATCTCAGCTTATCGTGAGTGGTTTCAGTGAGCTTTTCGCCGGATCTTCTCAGTGGGTCAGTGGTACATTCTGCGATGCATTGCTCTTACTAGGGCTAGTGTTAGCAAATTCTTTAAGGTTGTGCCCGTGAAGCTCACCTACCGATCCGTGTGAAAAAAGTGAGCTAATAATTTCAAACTTGCTATTTTGTGCGTATTTCTACATAGTGAACACTTCGCAATGTGGACAAGTATATTTACCTAAAGGGCTATTTATTGTATCTTTCAGGCGGTTACACGACAAGACCCTTCTGGATCTGAAGTGCTCTGTGACACTGGTTGGTGAATACACGTTGGGTGGCCAACTACTGATACTACCCATCGAAGGCACCGGAAAGTACAGGATCAGAATCCGTAAGCTATTTCTGGATGTTAGAGTATTTATTGTTATTTGTGTTGTTTTATATAGTTTACTCCACATACGTAGAACTATTGGTTTGGCTAGTCATAAAGTATATAGGCTGTCTCCCAACACACATCCTTAGCTGATCGTGCGCAAGAAAAAACAGTTTCTCCTCACGTGAAGCCGCGAACAAGTATTCTTATTCCTAATGCGGTGGTACCACACCAGGTTGCAGCACCTGTGGAGTACGACGACCTTTTGTTGACATTTTTTATTTATTTAGTGCTTGGATGAGTGAACGAGCTCACAGCCCACCTGGTGTTAAGTGGTTACCGGAGTCCATAGACATCTACAACGTAAATGCCGTCACCCACCTTGAGATATGAGTTCTAAGGTCTCAGTATAGTTACAACGGCTGCCCCGCCCTTCAAACCGAAACGCATTACTGCTTCACGGCAGAAATAGGCAGGGTGGTGGTACCTACCCATGCGGACTCACAAGAGGTCCTACCACCAGTGAAAAAATTTGCTGACCAAACAACATTTTATGACGTTCGGCTGGTTTCATATGTCTTAACTTAAAACTCACCATTCTAGGGGACATCATAATGAAGATAATTCTAGACGTGGAGGAGAGAATAGTGCAGGGCGACAGGTACTGGCACGTCAGCGACTGGAAGCACAGCGCCGAGGACGTCTCCAAAGTCGAATACCAGTTCCAGAATTTGTTTAACGGCAACCGTGATTTGGGTAAGTTATTATTTATATAATAAACTAGCTGACCCGGCAAACTTCGTAGTGCCTCAATCGAGAAATAAAATACCTAAACTTTTGTATAAAATAAACTTAAAACAAACAAAAAGAATCCGTCCGACGGGGGGGACAGCAAAGGGAAAAAAAGATTGTTATTTTTATTGAATTCCGAGAATTTTCATGTTTATGTACCTTTTAAACCTTCTCTGGACTTCCACAATTAATTCAAGACCAAAATTTGCCAAATCGATCCAGCCGTTCTCGAGTTTTAGCGAGACTAACGAACAGCAATTCATTTTTATATATATAGATAGATAATAGTTTAAAAAAACTAACAAAATAAGCCTTTATAGAAAATCCAACTAAAAAATAGAAAATAAATTTTCATAAATTTGAATTAAAAATAGTGTAAGAAAAAAATATTTTATTGTAAAAAAGCGTGGGGTTCTATTCATATCTGTTCATAAAATACTACTGATACCATGCACTTCACGCTTTTTTTTTACAATAAAATATTTTTTTCTTACACTATTTTTAATTCAAATTTATGAAAATTTATTTTCTATTTTTTAGTTGGATTTTCTATAAAAGCCTATTTTGTTAGTTTTTTTAAACTATTATTTATTTTTCATTTTTTAGTTGAATTTAATTTTTTTTCTTTTTCAATTTTTTTTTAAATATTGTATTGTAGTCGGTCCTTAATAAGTATACCAAATTTTGAGTTAATCCGACGTTTTGAAGGGGGTTCAAATCATGTTTAAAAATTCCGTTACAAACATACATACTACTTCTGAATCTAATAAAAGCTTATTAAAAATGATCTTCCGTCTTCTCTGTATCTTATTGAGAATCGCACTGATAAGTCGTTTGCATTTAATAAAATTACCCAATACTTTCATCCACAGCGAAGACTATCCACGATTTCGCAAACAGCAACTGGCGGGAAATCTTTCAGGAGGTGGCTCCTCCTATGGTCAAGGCTATCGTCTCCAAGATAATTCACGAAACATTCAAACTGTTCGATAAGGTGCCTATCAAGGATCTAGCATTAGAATAAATAACGCTACGGTTGGAAGCATGACATTCACCGAAGTGTCATACTCTCGCGTCATCCATCTCATACTGGTCGTGTTGTCAAGTTTAAAATAACGTCACGACCAAACATTGTATTGGCCGGGTGTTGATGTACCACTTGCTTGTCTACCAGCGCTCGCAAATGTTAAAGAGTGTTCATTTAGTATTAATCTCATCGAAACATCGCCGATATTCAATAGTGTAAATAATTTGTAAGCCAATTAGTTTTTTTAAGAAATAAAGAAGACTGTTTTAAAGCATTGGAGTTTTCTTTATACATTATACATATATGTATATAATGAACAGGAATCCTAATGCCTTTTTTATATTTGAAGGAAAGCCCTTGGATATTAAGACTGGAATTTAATACCGTCCCTTTTATAGTATGATAATCTGCGTCTTGAGAATTTACCCATCTTTTTTTAACGATATATTTCGCCGATTGGCAGCGTAAAGTTTCAAACTGAATTGATTAATTAGCTTTAATATTTTCTAAGTGGTATTACGTGATTTTCTGAGACTCCTAAGGCCTTTTTAGAAGATCTCGCGAAGCCACGTATATTGTGTGTGGTGGTAATAAATGTCCATAAACTGCTTAATTCTCTACATTCTCTGCCTCGTATAAATATTATCATTATCACACTTTTATATTCAAAGCAACATTAGATTCGAAAAACAAAACAAATCACACTACATGCCTTTTCACGTTCTTACCAAAAAGCCCTTCATTATGTTTTATAAACAGGCAAAAAGTCGTGCAAAAATTGCCCGTAATCACGGCGGACATTATAACAAATTTGACAGCTTAACGAGTACGTGACAAATGAATTGTACATATTTGACAATTGAATTACGAAATAAACACTTCCGCGAACGAACAGACGGCTGAGAAAATAAGATTTTTCCGTGAATTACATACATATGTACGTACCAAGATCGAAGTTCATAATTTGTTTAAATTTTCATTAAAGTTCACCAGAAAATTGTGTATAGGATCTGGGTTCGGGATAAATACAAAATTCTACCGAAGTATACATTATAACTGTATTCAATATTTAGAACACTTAACGAACACTTTAAGATTCTCAATTCGCTTCTTCCGCTTCGCTTCAGGTGATCCGGTCGCTGTTTCGCTTCGAGTAGTTTCGATTACTGACTGACTTCGTCCCATCTCTGCAAAGCTTTTATAGTCGATAAGACATCTCTAGATTTATCGAGAACATTCTGGGCAAGTCGAGTAGTTTCCATATGTGTTTCCGCTATCTGACAATAGTTGGCGGTGTAAGTCTCGAGCTTTCTTGGCGATACTTGTTCCTTTGTGGACCCACCTTGTGCGGACCACGAGAATACAGCAACTTGCACTACAGAGTACGGAAGATTCCAGCGAAAAGTTCTGGACGAAAATTGTGGTGGTGGTAATAAATATCCAGAAGAGCAAAAAATAGCTTTGAAACTTCTTACTTTGTTTGAAACTTCTTACTTCTAAAACATCAGAGGAACTGGTAATTCTTCTCTGGCAATAAAAAAGAAACTTTGTTTGGGTCAACATATACTTGGTCTGGCCATAAATACTGCTACAATTAAAAATAAAAAAAATTATATTGCAAATAATATTTATTACTTTTACAGTGTGTTAGTTTAATACATAAATATAAAACAATTTAAAGTATAAAAAGCTTATTCGAAGTGGTCTTCATTGTCTGCAATACAGTCCTTTAAACGTTGAGGCCAGTTATCAATAGAAGCACGCACTCTTTCCATGGGAAAATTTTTCACTGCCAATCGTACGGATTGTTTTAGGGACTCCAAATTATCATGGCGTTTAGAGCAAGCCGTACTCTCTAAAACTGACCATAAATCATAATCCAGCGGATTAAGATCGGGACTAGACGACGGCCAGTCTTCAGCTCTGATGAAGTTCGAAACGTTCGTTTCCAACCAAGACTGCGTAGACCGAGCTTTATGACCTGGCGCCGAGTCTTGCTGGAAGGACCATTCTTGATTATTGAACAAGGTGTTGTTAAGGGGCTTTACTACTTTCTCAAGAATGGTATCTTGATACACTTGTGCCGATGTTTTGATACCTTTTTCACAAAAGTATGGCTCAGTCACTCCTTCATAGCTAATACCCCACCAAACCATCACTGAAGTCGGATAGTGCCCACGTTGCACTCTGTCGACTAATTGGTAAGCTTCCATAGAGCTTTGAACACGACAAATATGGTCATTTTGTTTGTTAAAATGTTGCTCAGTTGTAAAAAAATTCTCATCCGTAAACAAAATTTTTCTATGACCTCCCTTTGCGTACCGCTTCAGTAGTTGTTTCGATTTTACCGCCCTATTCTCTTTTAAATTATCAGTTAGGAAATGACCAGTACATCTCTTATAGACTGCAAGTCTTAAGTCATCTTTTAAAATACGCGACATGGTTCTAGGTGCTATCTTCATCTCCCGAGATAAAAGTTTTTGCTTTCGGACAGAATTTCTTCGAATTCTTTCCTTTACTGCATTGACCACCTTTTTCGTACGAACACTACGTGGACGGCCAGATCATTTTCTGTCACAAACAGAGGAGGTCTCATTGCACCTATTAATAGCCCGGTACACGAATATTTTACTAATACCAAGCGTATGGAGAGTTTTAAAAATTGCATTTGGCTCCATACCTACTTTGTGTAATGCAATCACAGCGATTCGGTTCTCTTTATCACCCCACTCCATTTTAATATCGCAAAATATTGTACAATGTATTGGCGCCAAAATGAGAAAACTGAATGAGCAATCATATAAAAATGACAGATTCCAAATTAATATGTAATATTTTGTTTATTTTTAATTGTAACAGTATTTATGGTCAGACTAAGTATTTATGAAGCAGTATTTTTGAAGATTAACTTCATTAAGAATAAGTTTCGATCTCGACTTACTCATGAATATCTCAAGGCTTTAATGTTGCTCGCATCAATTTGCCTCTAAACTTGAGACAGCTGGTAGTCCGCAACAAAAAAATTTTCTCAATGCTAGCTAAAATACCTTTGTTATTTCCGTAACTACGTACATTAAAATTTGTTTAATGAATATTTTTTTCAATAACATGTTGTGCGTACCGCGATGGTAATTTCATTTCCTAAAACGGAGCCTGAGTGAAACTAGGTGACCCCTGATATATAAGATCGGAATTAAATTTCAGTGTTAGATTTTATCCCTTTTTTATAAAAGATTTATTTTGAAGAGATTTCGAATATGATTATTTAATATCCATTTTGTACTCCGTGGCCGCCCGCTATAGTGCTGGTAGCGCGCTGCCTCAGCCCCCTCAGGTCGCCCCGTGACCTTCACCAGGAGAAGGCCGTAGCCTACCGGAGCCGGGACGCACACTCGCACTGTCCCATCCAGCCCCCAGCTCGACGGCGACGGATCGGTGTGGAAAAGGAAAAGGTTTTCCCCTTTTTTTGTTTTTTTTTTCCTACCTATCTAGCCTTGAGAGGATATTTGAGATTCTTCTTCACGTGTAGGTGAGCTCACGGGGCTCAAACCGGGAGTGTTGCTAACACTGGCCCTAGCAATAGCAGTCCTTCGCAGAATCTACCACCGGACCGGAAACGCGACCCACTGAGAAGGTCCAGCGAGAAACTCAGTGGGCTGTGTCTATGGGATTTCCCCGTCCTACGCTACCGATTTTTAATTGTCTCTAAGAATTACAATTCCTGAAAAATCTTTCAGTATCCGGCTGTGGCAGCTGTGATATGTTTCGTTAGAAAGCACTTCGCGCGTACGCTTTGTATTAGACTTTGTGTCAACAGACTAAAAAAGGCTTTTATCCTTCTAGTATAAATGTTAAAGAAACACACTCTCAACGGACCGACACGGATGGATAATACGCGCCTAGCCCAATCTATCATCTACCAATCTAAACAAACAAGTAATAAGGGGAAAAAGTAATTCTGAACAGCCTTTTTAATGAATTTATGTTAAAAAATTAGCACCTTTTAATGTAGTCAGCAAACAATACACAGGCTGACATTGCCATGTCATTGACCGTGGCTATGACCAAAGTTTAAATGTAAATGACCCGAAAACAAAGGGAATCCTATATGCAGAATTTTATGAGTTCTGATATTTGCAAATGTAAACAAGTACCCTGACTCTTGTTTTACTAATGCTTAAAAGGAAATATTCCCTGAGCACTGTGGAGGTGCGCCATTTTGAAAAGCCAACATCAAAACTTCGTACGATATAAATGGTTTTTAAACACTCTATTCTGTAATTAGTCTTAATAATTTTGACTACAATACAAAACCAAACATTATGTTAAAACTTTTAGAATCGATTTAGATTTAAAACCGTAAGTCGGGTATATTAGGAATACTTTGTTAAATTAAACAACTTCAAGCGAATTAATTCTTTTATTACCCCATAAATTGGTGAACAAGACCACGGATCATCTGGCGTTGAGTTCACGACGCAAATACCATTGCCTTGAGACATGATGTCGGGGTCTCAATTTTATGGTCTGTCCCACTTTTCAAACCGGCACCACATTGGCGGCATTAACTTGCAATATCTATGGGCTTCAAACCAATTACTAAGAAATATCCAATGAGCTCGATCACGCATCTACATAATAATAAAAACGTCCTAAACTCCTCTGTCACAAGCTAGCTAGTTCTCCTGTGTTACGGGTACCGGAACGCACATGTCAGACAAGAAAACTACAACTAAAGCTCCGGATACCAAACATCTTCGACAAAGACACTGTCTAAGGGAATCGGTTTTATTACGGTAAGCAGTGGCTTGGCTCTGTCCTTATTGCTGAAGTCACGCTCAGGTGGGCTGTATGCTCGCCTGCCTATACGGCAATAACAAAAGATGTGCGGTGTCGTGGATAGGAACGAAGTTTCTTATTATAAAAATATTAATTTTAAGTTCTATTCGAGGTATAAAGAAAATAATTATTCGGGTATACATTTTTTATTATGATTTTTTTATTGATAAAAATAAACAAAAAAAGTACTTTCAAAGTTATCAACTTTATTTTATTCACAATTATTTATAAAAAAATATATAATAATAATATACAAAGAAACAGCCATTTATATGAATAATAATAATAACCGTCATCATGTAGACTATACATTAGACACTGTATAGCCATCATACTAAGACTATACATAAATAATAAAAATCTTACGTTACGGACGTTTATTCCCGGTTAGGGTACCCCTCCGCATCGTCCCATAAGGAACTTCGT